TGTGTTTATTCATCTGCATAAACACCACCTGTTCCCGTGCTGACAACTCCTTAAGTGGGGAAAGTTTAGCAGCAGCCTGAGTGTAAGCCAGTCAAGCCGGGGGGGCAGCTGTGGTTTCAGAAATCTGTAGCACTTTCAAGTGACAGAGAGAGCATCGCTGAGTACTGCTGGTGCTGCTACAGAAAGACAGAGAGAGAGAGAGAGAGAGAGAGAGAGAGAGGAGACTTTCATTTTAATGTCATCCATGTGTGAGATGAAGAGACGACACGATAACAAAAAGAAAACAGGGTGCGTGCGATCTGGATTGACATCTTAAGGTAATTTATGCCCATCCTTTGTTCAGTCACGCTGCTCCTGTACACACCCGGTGAGGATTGTTGTTGAAGGCTAATTTAGAGTATCTTTGGCACAACGTAGACCCCCCCTCACCCTCCCTTCCTCTCTCCCCCGTGAAATTCTATCATTTGTCTAAGTAATTGAGAAAATGTATCATCAAAATCTACAACATCGCTGATTGCCTTGACTTTTTTTTTTTTTTTCCCCCATCATTCTCATCCCCCGGAACAGTTCCTTAGGAGAAAAAAAATGCTTTTGTTTATTTATTTATTTTTATTTATTTATTTTTTTACTCCAAAGGCTGATACCTGAAAAGCGCTGTCACATTTCTCCCCTACCTTGACTTTCCCCTGACGTCTCTCTCAAATTATAGCTGTAATAAAAAGCAAAGGTCGTCTGGCGTGACGCCTTCACGGATGCACGGAAAAGGAGGAAGTCTGGAGCTTGTTGTGTATTGTTTTGATGGTTAAAGAGAGGACGGCATCTGGCATTTGTAATTATCTAAACCAATTCCTGTCAAGGCTAAATTAAACCCGACTGTCATCCCGACCGAGGCTGTTATTATTCCAATTATTTTGGAATGATAAATAACGCTCGGAAGCTTGTTTTTAATCGTATGTATTTCCTTTGAAATCTTTTCTTTTTTTTTTTTTCTTTTCCCTCATTCGATAAATCCAACCTGGGTTATCTGCTGCAATTCAGGAGTGATTTATTTTCTAAGGTTACACACTCCGTGTCTATTCACGTATATGTACTTGTGTAATGGTCACTTCCCTTTAAGTAGTCCACTCTCAGCGAAAGCTTTTAAAGCGGCTAAGTCAGCCCCAAAAATCATAGTGCTCCGGCGAATGTAAGGGAAGAAAGAGCCAATTAGAGATCATTTGGCAAAATAGCATTTGATTGCTTTCACTCTACCTTTTTTCCGTCTTTTGTTGACCTGCGCTGAAAGCAAAAGCACCCCCTTTTTTTGTGAGAACCAAGAGAGAGGGGTCAGCGAGGCTTTAGCCCTCGCCTGTGCGCGCCGCTCTTTCATCTGGCGTTTTAAGAGCACAAGTGCCCGTGTCTTGGCGAAGCACTTTAATCAAACTAATGCAACTGATCCTGCCTGTTGTTTTGAGTCCCCCGGTCCAATTCAAAGGGACCCACACATGCTGCAGGATGCCATGGTGGGGGTTTTTTCTTCCCCACTGGACAGAAATGGAATCAGGGTCATGGGACATGCAGACAACACTCAGACAACCTGTCTGCAACGGCATGCTGGTTCCTCTATACTGCCATCTTTTTTTCCTTCCACATCCCGCGTCCTTACACGGGCTACATCTGATGTGAAATATGGGTGATAGACCTTTGTTTAGTTCAAAGGTTCGTACCTCTTTATTCCTAAGTCCCTTTGTGGATCCACGGGGCCTTGAAATATGTATAACTGTCCCTCTTTCATTCCAGGTCATCTGAGGACGGGCGTATTCAAAGGCTGGAGATTCAGTGGAGAATCGGTTTGAAAATGTGAGCGTCCACGGGTTGTCGTCGTTTCTTAACCCCACTGGTGGACACGTAGCCAGATCTGTGACCTCTGCGACCTGAAAACATCCACCACAGCACTGTAGATCACAGAAGAAGAAAAAGCGTAACCGCCTCCTACTTGTGTTTTGTTGTTTGTTTTAGGTTTTTTTTTTTTTACGGTGGGTTTTGGGTTCGAACAAGCTCAGCTCGACATTTCACCCCTTGCTCCTAAATGTGAAATTAAACCCCCCCCCCCCCATAGGTAAAAATCACGGGATGTTCGCCTTTAGTCTTTGGTATATTTTGATGATTTCAGTATATATAACAATATAAACATGCAACTACGTAACAATTAAATATAGGTGAAAATGTTCGTACTTGTACTATTTGTGACATTCCTTATACATTTGTAAGGTAAATTGAAGTATATCAAGTATAGACACTAAATCAAAAAAATTGAAAAAAAATCAAAAATCACATTTGCACTTATGGATAGGTCAGAATATCGAAAGCTATTTTAAAAAAAAAATAAAATCAATTTCTCAATATCTTGTTTAAAATTTAATTTCATTTAAATTTGAAGGCATCTACAGGGTAAATAACAAACAGGCGTATTTAAAAAAAAAAAAGTACCGTAAAAACACTTATTGTAGTACTACAGAGTTTTCTCAATACCAGATCGATTAGGGTTGGAAGACAGTGTTATATACAGTACTTGCCACAGCTCTGTGGAAAATGCGATGTGCACAGTGACGACACCGGGCCTGAAAATGCTTACAGCGAGTTTTATTTTCTGTTGACCTACTTAAATAAACTACCCATGAGGGCAAGGAGACACTGAACTGTAGTAAGAAAATGCACAGCACTTGCTGACTGGTGTGCAGCTGCTGGTGGTGAAAAGCTTTTACGCAGCACCGGGTCACTGGATCGGCAAGTTTTCGAGTATGGTCATGTATTTGCATCACTGGGTATAATGAAGTATATTTAAGTATCTGTTATAACACAACTGTAGCTCGTTCAGTCTTATAGTTGAACTAACATCGAGCTAGTACACAACTGGCACAACTGGATAGGGGTCGTACCTCCATGGAGGTGTGACATTAACCCTTTCATGCATGACGGTCACTACAGTGGACAGCTATGAAAATGTCATTTTTTATATGATAAGAATAGGTTTTGATGGCAGTGTTGCATATACAGTAAGCCTCTACAGTGGACGCCTGGGAATCACTCAACACTGCTATACAGTGGTCAGCCTTTGCAACTGCAGAATAATTGTGTCAACATTCAAAAAGAAAATTTGGTGTATAAAAACAGAACCAAATCAGTTCTTATTTTTATGTCTAAAAACACATAAAAACACAATAAAATCAAATTAACAAAGTTTTTTTTTTTTTAAGATTATACAGATCAAACCAACACTGACTCACTTCCTCGCTTTTTGGGGGGCTTTAACAGCAGATTTAAATCTCGTGAAATGCATTCCTACTAACTATCTAGATATATATCGTCAGGTATCGTAACAAATAAATAACAAAATACTTTAAATCCAATCCTTGCACTGTCCTTCAGGCATGGCATTGGTTTTAATTTGGCAAAGTGCTGAGCTCGACAGCCGCTAACTATAAGACAATCAGGTCCGAAGGGAGGATGCTGCCAGAAAATGGCAGAGGAACTTGGCATTTCAGCTGAGGTGCCGTAAGTGCTGTGCCTGCTACTCCTATTGTTAGTTCCTCAACTATGACAGTGGATTTTTGGACCATTTCAATTGATATTTGCGCTGAAGTCAACGTGTGTCTTTGAAAATCAATCGGCGACTGTTAGCATTTTCAGAACACTCACCAAGATTAAAAAACAAAAAAAAGATAAATCCACTTACTTTTATCTGAGGAGAAGAAATGTAACAATAATGCTCCTTTCCTTTGATTTTTCCCCTCAGTTTGTAGCACCAATCTCTTGGGTCTAAGAGCCATTCTTGTTTTTGTGTAATTTCCTTTTTTTATTTTCACTTTTTCCCCCCCCGGGTCTGACTTTTCCAACCTCTGTTGTGTTCCTGAGTGAAAATATGAAACAACACTTACTTATTATGGAAAAAACAAAAAAAAACATGATTTTAATGCAAGTACAGTGGAAACTCGAGATATGAGTATTTCGAGATAAGAGCAAAGTAAAGATTTGAGATACGAGCACGCTTACAGACACCGACGCTAGGTGGCCGAGCACTCGGAGCAGCCCACGCTGTCTCACTCGTTCACGTCACGTGTTCGGTGACTTCCGTAAGCATCACTTGATGACCATGATGACCATGGAACTAAAGCATGAAATTGTCGATAAATATGAGCGTGGTGCCCGCTAAAGACAGAACACAAATAAAAAAAAAATTCTAAAAAAACAAAACAAAAACGTAACAAGTTAATTCTAAGTTTATGTAAGTTACGTAGTGTACGTGTAAGGTATGGTACGGAATCAAGTGTCTACGTACTAGCCAACTTTCTTCCCTCCCTTCCTTCTCCTCCTCCTCCTCCCCACATGCCGCCATTAGCCGCTACTGTATCGTCTGTCTGGAAGGTAAGAACTCATAATTAAAACCACATTTTATTATATATGACAGGAATCCTTATATAATATAATCTTTATCATCGTGTTGCTCTTGGTTTTTTTCTTTTATTGAAACTGATTTTTTTTTTACACCAATCAGAGCAAACAACATATTTTTGACATTTGGGGAGAATGCTTTAACTACCCTAAAATATAGTTAAGTCTCTTGAGTCAATCTATGTCAAAAAATTCCAAAACTACTAGAACAGCCGCGAGCGGTCATTCTGACCGCTAGAGTCTAAACCAGGGGTCACCAACCTTTCTGAAACTGAGAGCTACTTCGAGACCACTTAATAATACAGAGAGCTACTTGTCTGATACAGACTTCCCCAACAATGTCATAATAATCAATTCTGGGACATACAATAGCAGACACTCTTCTTACCATCATGTTTGCATACATTTGAATATCACTGCAAGTATAACTTATTCAAAAAGCACAGTAACAGTACAGTTTTTGACCCTCTGACTAGTTTTATTTTTAGAACATACCCTGCGGGCACCTTAGGTAGGCCACGAGGGCTTAGACCCTAGACTCTATAATCGCTCGTGATGCTTGTGTCAAGACTTTGGTGGTTATTTAAAGCGCTTCATTTTATTTTGGAAAGTCAGTGTTGCTTCCTGTGCAGTTGTTCACGGCAGGTGTATTCAGGGTTTAACGGAAGCACATAGCCCATTGGTAAGTTGTTGGTAGCTAAACTATATAATGTATGATTTAATAGTATAATGTGTTGCAGTGTCAAGCTAACCTTGCTAACCCTCGCTCATGATGCTTATGTCAAGACTTTGGTGGTTATTTAAAGCGCTTCATTTTATTTTGGAAAGTCAGTGTTGCTTCCTGTGCAGTTCACGGCAGGTGTATTCCGGGTTTAACGGAAGCACATAGCCCATTGGTAAGTTGTTGGTAGCTAAACTATATAATGTATGATTTAATAGTATAATGTGTTGCACTATCAAGCTACCCTAAAAATGTGATGTTAAAATATGTTTGTTATTTAGCACTCATGGTTGGCGTTAGCTCGCGGTTAGCGCGTTAGCTCGCCGTTGGCACGCTAGCTCCCGCGAGCTCGCGTTAGCATCGCCGCTAGCTCTATTAATATACTTGGTTAACTCTGTTAGCTTTCCAGGTTAGCACTTAGACAAGTCTTTTGTCTATAGCTATTAATGTTGACCAAGACACTGGTTTAGGTTAGAGTGTTTGCTGCTATTTATTACTTTAATTTCATAAGGAAACATTGGACTGGTATGTATTAAACTAGTTAATGTTTGTTTATTGTAAATTTGTTATTTACATTTTCATTAATACTATTGCATGTAACTTGTTATGTTTGGTTCACTCATTTCAGGTTTATGACCTGTGGTTACCTGTGGTCACCTGTGGTCATTTGAACATAAATAAATAAATAAAAGAAGACCAAGGATAAACACGAGTTATAGCTTCAGTGTGCTTCCTGTTGAGCCTTTTCGGAGGGCAAAATTTAAAAAAAATCCGAACAGCTTAACCAATGGAAAGATAAGATGGCTTCATTTTGTTATGCTGTCATATATGTGATTAGAAAATGTTTAACACTGAGAATAACAATAACTACGCTGATGTATAATTATTAACATTGATGTGCCTTTTCGTAATTCGACACAGCCTTGGTTTGGAGTCAACTGTGACTGTTGGCTGCTGCTGCAGACTCACTATCTTTCACTATGAACGAATCACTCTCTGTGAACTAGTGATGTGTCGTTCGCGAGTGATTCGTTCGAGGCAAACTATATTGTCTCCAGTATTTAGTGCATCTCAGTATTTACAACGCCCACGATGGAGCTAAAGCGCCACCTGCTGTAAAACGAATGAAATGATTCGGTCAAGATTCGTTCACGACTCGTTCATTTTTAGCAACCAAATTGCAACACTTGCTGCGAAAAAAAACAACATTTTGACTTACAGTATAATACAGACAAATTAAAGAAAAGTCAGGCAGGGACAGGGTTGATTTTTTTTTTTTTTCCACAAAGTTAATGGTCAAAATGGCCTTTAACTGTTCTAGTGTTAAGCAAGATACGTAACTACAAGTTGGTTACTATGGATCAAACTGTCCAAACCAGTTATTACCTACCTAAAATAATTTTTACAGTGTGTTAACATTGGGCAGCTTATAGTAACTACACTGAACTATGAACAATATTGACTAAAAAAAAATTGTCCTTACAGTTTCTTTTCCATACCTGGATGTACTGCTGTCTTGACCAACCAATCATTAGTCGTGCAAAGTGTCAGATTTGAGAAGTTTCACAGTTACTTTAGCATTGGAGTTTCTGGCGAGGCGATCATTAAATTCTCCGGAAGACCGAGCTGCGCCACGAAGATCAAACTTTCACACCTTTCTGCTTGATTCCCAATTTGTGGTTAGCACACTCTTTTCACAAAATCCTTGATGAGCAGTCGAGAAGGTTTAAAATCCTTAACAGTGTCAGCCTTGTCATCTCACAGCTGATTAATCAGCATGTGGCGCTGAGCATAATTAACCAGCAGACCTTCTCTCTGTCCACCATCATTACCTGACCTTACACATGTTGGGAATAGCCACAGGGGGAAGGACAGACGGCAGAGCCGTCACTGAAAACAGATCTCGGGTGGTGATTAGTGTATTCTACATGGAGCGATACAAATGAACTCTGTGTTCCTGCATTAATGTTTTAAAGGAACCTATATGCTGTCACGTAATTATTGAGGGCAGAGGTCCGTAAGGATGTCTTGATCCTGTTAATGTCTGGCCGGGACTAATCTTTAAAACATGCAATAACAAGCAAATTAATTGGTCTTGGATAAATTCCTATGAAATAATCCTTCAAAAAAATTCACACAAAAACGGTGTATTTTTTTTTTTTTTTTCAAACGGCTCAGCCAATAGAGTTGGCGTATTTTTTTATTATTTTCTTATTCTTTTGTTTTATTCTCAGGTGAATACCAAAAAGGACAAAGGAATATTTCTATTTGTTTTGGTGGAGCTGCCCGTAAACTAGACCGAGGCCGAAAGATTTTATTGATTTGATTTCTTTCTTTTCTAATCCTGTTTTGGTGGAGCTACCCGTAAACCAGACCGAGGCCCAAAGATTTTATTGATTTGATTTCTTTCTGAGCACTTAATTAGAATAATTGAATTATGCACTTTGAATTGAAACAAAAAAAAAAAAAAAAAAAAAGCCAAAACGTTAGAAATCACATTGGGTTGTTTAAATGAAGGAAGTAAATAAAATAATAAAATAATATTTGGTCAATATCAGAATAGCATATTCCTAATGTCTGACAATTGGAATTCAATTCCAATTTTATAATTGTCAGTCTTCTATCTATTCCAAGTGTCCTATTATTTCCAATTTTTTGCCGATTCAGGAGGCAGGGCACAAACCCAGCTGCTGAAATAAACCTTCGGTTTTTTTTTTTTTGCTTGACCCCAAAGTCCTAAAAAATCATATGCTGAGTCCTGGCCCTGTTCTCCTCTTAACTTACCTCTTGAGGTTTTTTTTTTTCCTCCCCTCGGAGCTGAAAAAAGAGCAGGGTTGTGCTTTAAATAAAGTATAAGAAGAGCAGCGAGGGTTTTTTTTTTTTTTTTTTTTTTTAATCTGGAGAATGATTGCTTTGCCATGCAGCCCTGTTTCGAGAGAGAGAGTGCCAAGCCGAGCCAGGCAGTGTATTAATATTTAAATTGCGGTCCGGATAATCAATAGAAGGGGGTACTTCTGTGTCCTCTTACCCTCAGATGGAAAACGATAATAGGGAGAAAACCTGCTGATTAGCTTCCTGAGAAGCTCTCTTCTGTGTGTAGTGCTCAATACTTTAGGAGTGATTATAACCTATTGAGGCAGGGAAAACCTGATCGAATATAATCTCCTTTGAATTCCTTGTTCCCTCACTAACTCGTGAAAAAAAAGAGCATTCGCCGCTCCGTGTTCCCACCTCTCTCTAGTCCCCTTCTTTTATTTTCTATTCTATTATTTTTGCATATAATACAAATATATATAAAAAAAAAAATCAGGTGGTATTTATGTTGTTACACGAAGCTCCACTGGGCTCCACTGCCCTAACAGGCACCAAAGTGGGACAACTTATATTTTACTTTCCTCCACTTCATTGTACATGAAAATCCCCGGCTTAGGCCTTTTTCTCTTTTGAATGCTTTGAACTCTTTTCAGCCCTTTTAGGGGAACTTTGTGCTGTTGACTGTGCTTGTGCATTCACTGTAAAGGCACTCAATACAGCAATAAGACCGCAAGCAAAACTGAGTGTCTTAAGCTGGACCACACATCTGAGGCATTTGCATGATTTGGGGCGGAGGAGTGAGGGGAAAGAGGGGGGGGGGGATAAAAAACCAGACTGGTGGGAGTGTATTTTCTATATACGTTTTTTTATACTTGAACAAATGCAAAAAACCCTCGATTCGAAGCTTGGTTGGGGGACAGAAACTTGCCATATAAGGTAGTAGAAGTTGGCTCCTGCGTCCGTTTAACCCGATTTGTTTGTGTAGATTTGGAATAGTACGGGGCCAACGGTTTAGCAACTAACTCCGAAGTCAGGTTTACAAACGAATTCCCGAAGTCCTGCTTCTCACAGCAAGATTGATCTTAGTTTTTTTTTTGTTTTTTTTCCTCCCCTTTTCTTAACTGGTGGGTCCAAGGTTTAACCTTCTCTGTCCTCGTATAACTTGGTGTGTCTGCAAATGTGAATGTGTTATTGTTTTGCCATTGTTCGCACTTTGTTGAAGCAAAGGGGAGGAGTAGCGGCAGGACCAAGGGGGTATACTAATACTTCTTCTAAGGATAGTATCTCATTTGAGGGGCCAAAGAAAAGCAAAAAGGAGCTGAAGTATCTGCGGTGAGCATTTTGAAAGAAAGAGAGGCAAGGCCAAAACTGAGCTGCTCAGTTCATTTTCCACCTCACTGGCCGTTGTAATCCATCTTGGCCCAGCTGCTAACAAGACTTAGTCTGAAGTTTACCCTCACAATGAGATAATCAGATTAAGATGCCCAAAGATCAAATAATGACCTGGATTTAGGGCAAGTTCAGTAGCTCATTGATTGCTATGTGTGGTCCTTCAAATATATTAAAAAAAAAAAAAAATTTTTTAAATTGTCTCGCAGTACGTATTTGTGCACTATCAAAGAGATTGGCCGGTGCACAGGTTCATTAATTATGGCTCTGAGCCTTCTCTGCTTCCCATTGGCCAAAAGGAACCTAAACAGACAACAGACTTGTTTTAGCGGTCTCGGAGAAAAAGGTTCAATTAACCTAATCTACATCTGACTAAAGCCTATTGTTAGAGCATGTTGTTGTGCAGATATATGATTTTATAGGTTGGGACTGGGTTTGTTTACGAGGTAAACAAATGGTTCACCTGCCACCAAAAGGTAAACAGCAAAACATTACGACCAACTGTGTCTACTTCTTCCTCGGTTGTAAGGCCTTGGAGGTGTTTTTTACAAAACTATTTTTCTTTTATTGTTGTGTGATTGTTGAATATGTGATGCGACACTATTATTATTTTATTTGTGTGATTGTTGAATATGTGATGCGAACAACTATCTGGGATGAGGCGAGTTTAGTGAAAAGTAACAAAAGTACAAAGGAGGGCTGATAAAATGCAGCTTGTAGGCCAAGTGAAGGAGATGTATGTACGTATGTATCTATGTATGTATGTATGTATGCATGCATGTATGTATCTATGTATCTTTGTATGTATGTATGCGTGTATGTATGCATGTATGCGTGTATGTATGTATATATGTATTTATGCATGTATGCATGTATGTATGCATGTATGCATGTATGTATGTATGTATGCATGCATGTATGTATCTATGTATCTTTGTATGTATGTATGCGTGTATGTATGCATGTATGCGTGTATGTATGTATATATGTATTTATGCATGTATGCATGTATGTATGCATGTATGTATGTATGTGCCCATTCCATGCATCTACCGTCACGCCTTCCCTCTATCGATACTGATTAGCAGCCATTCTAGCCTACATGGTAAACATACGTACATACATACACCTTTCTTTAAAATGGCACACGTACATATTATTGCCAAGTTTGATCTGTTTTACCACTGTAAATGTAATGATATATGTTCGCACAGAGACAAAGTACGCCCACAACAAATCCGTTCACGTCATCTATTCATATCGCTGTTGGTGTGAAAAGGCCTTAAGAAAACGAAAGGAAAACAAATTTGAAGTCTTCCTCCGATTAAATGTTTGGTGCTGCGAATTTCTTTCTTTCAGTAGGTGATCCACCTGACTGGCCAAAGCTGCTAGTGTGTGTTCCACAAAACTTCAAAGACGTCTGTTGGGGAAAAAAATGTGGATTATTAAACCAAGTGCAGATTGAAGCCTGCTGACTGCAATATAAAAGTAGGGGTTAAGCTCATTGTAAACTCTCCCCTCATTTCAAGGGTAGAAGTTACATATAATTAGAAGAAATG